TTAGTTTTAAGTTAAAAGTATTTTAAAATATACTTATATTTAAAGTTTTTATTTTTTATTTATTTACAAAATTGATTGATTCAATATTAAATTTATTTGCAATTGATCATTTATAATATTTTTTTTCAAAATATATTAATATTATTAATTTTATTATATTAGTTATATCATTTTCTTTTATTATAATATTAGCATGATATGTTTAAAATTATTATGAATCATATTTATAAAAATAAGTAATAAATATTAATAATATTTATTTAAGTATAATTTTATATAAGTATAAAATTTTTTTTGAAATTTGTAAAAGAAATTTAATAAAATAAAAAAAAATATTATATTTTAATGTTTTTTTAGAATTGTATTTATTTCTTTAAATAAATAAAATTTTGAAAGAATTTTAATAATTACTAAAATTATTATTAATAAATATGAATATTTTTTTTAATCAAAAAAATTATATTGCAATTATTTTAAAATATAAATATTATAAATATTAATTTTATAATTTACTAATTATTGATAGAAAATCTATAATTTATTTCTAAGTAAAATTTTCTAATTAAACAGATTTTTATTACAAATTCTACAAAAGTTTTCTTAATCAAAATTTTTATAATATAATATAAAATTATAAAAATTTAAATTAATTAAACTAAAACTTTATGAATATTTAAAAAAATTTTAATTTATGTATTCTCCCGTTTTTTACTTTACAGAATTTGTAAACTTTTACATAACTTATATATAGTAACATTTTAAAATTATGTATTTTAATTATACAAAAACTTTTTTTAATATATATAAACTCTTTTTTTTGTATATTTAAATAATTATAATAATATTAATAAATGATATATAATTATATTTAATAATATATTAAAAAATAGTAATAATTCTAAAGTAAAAATATTATGTTATTTTACTAAACATTATAAGAAAAATAAATTCAAGATATTTTAAAAATTAATTTCTTATATGTAAAAATTATTTTATTGTATAAAAAGTCATATAAATATGTATTATATTATTTATTACATCATTCATATACTTAATAATAATTGGTAACATAATTATTTATGTTATATATGTTTATATATATTATGAAGTATTAGTTATATAAAATTTAATTAGTCTAACCTATTATACAAATAATTTATACATGATGATTAATGAAAAGATGAAGTAAAATTTATAAAATTTATATTTATTTAAAAAAAATAATGATATAAAATATTACTAAATCTTTTCATTTAATCTTTAATTAAGAGATTTTAAAAGTAGATTAAAGCAATTTTGATAATGTTTACCATTTAATTTACACAAATATTTTTATATTCTAAATTTTTGACAAAATATTCAAAGTTATATTTTATTATATTGATAATATTTAGGATTCTATGACTACTTTACTATATCAGTTTAATTTGAAGCTTTAATAATTCTATAACCTTGCTATTATAATAATTTTTGTAATTTAATTGCTTGTTATTTTAAATAATCAAAGTTATAACTATTCTTTTTTACAATATACTCAAGTAATACTGAAATATAATTTATTTCTATAAATTTTAAATAGATTTATTAGATCACTTATTGGAATTAATTTTCCATTAATATAATAATATATATTACTATAATAGTTAGTTTTTAATGTAAACTCTGTAAAATTATTGAATAACCATTGTATATTAAAGTTTTTCATAATTAAGTATTTGTATTTATTAGTTTATAATTGTTTGATTAAGCAATTTCTTTGATTGTAACATAATCTCTCTTTTTTCTTATATTTTTCTTACAAAATCTAAATACTCATCCATCCAGTTAGAATCTCTTTCTTTTCTTATATTTTCTTACAGATTTCCAATATTTATTAATCTAACTAAAATCAATAAGAAAGGAAAAATAGATTTTACTATCATTTTTTTAAACGTTTGAGCAATATATAAGAATTATAGCAATTTAGTAGTTAATAATAGTTTTTTCAAGTTTATCATTTTTGTGATATTTTAAGCATAAAAAAAAAAACAAAAATGAAAAATATGATTATTTGAGATCACAGTGATGTTATAATATATAATGCAAGATTATTTTATATTGCTCTTATTATATTTTTATAAGTAAAGAAAAATTTACACTGTAAAAATCACAGAAATAATATTTTATAAGCATTTGACTTTGATCATCTAATAAAGAACTATTTGACCTTATTTAACTTATAACAGAGATCTTTACAAAGACTTTCACAGAGATTTTAGATGCTTTTACAAAGTTCTTTAGAAAATTCTTCACAGAGACTTTCATGAATATCTTCAGAAAGTTCATCATAAAGACTTCTACAAATTTTTTCAGAAAGTTCTTTGCAAAGTACTTTAAAATTTTCATCATGATTATCTTTTCAATTGAACTTGATTTTAATTACAACAGACTTTGCTAAAAATAAGAGTAAAATCAGGAATTTGATTATATTAGAAATAAGTCACAACAATATTATAATTACTTACTCGCTTCATTATGAATGTCATTAATTAAGGTTACAAGAACCTTGCTTGATCCTATTTCTAATCTGCATTTTTGAAATTCTTCATTTATAAATATAAGAAAAGAGTAGCTAGTGACTTCTTGTGAACGTAAAATATCAAAGTGTTTTTTACATAAAAATAAGTTTTGTTCTTTCAAGAACTTGATAATATTTCTGCATTTCAGGTTTTAATTATTTCAATTGATGGAAAACTAGTTTTGATCTAGCATATCCAGATTAGCAAGTTTATCTATGCAACTTTAAAGTATTATAAGTAATCTTACCTTTTTTTCTTGCATTTTATGATTATCACAGTTTTCTAGACTGTGTTTTTGGGTATCTTCATTAAATTGTTTTTGAAAAATATCTACTTGTTCTACTGAATTTTTAATTGTGCAGAGCTGTTGTTTAGCACGGATTATCCTAATCTTATTGGATATTTTGTTATCATTAACCATCTTTTATTTGTCTTGAGTACAGAAGACCAATTTTTGTTAAAAACAGAATTAATCATCTCGTAAGCCCTGATTATATAAAGTGAAACAAGAATGTCTGTCCACAAGGGAGATTTATTGAAGAATTTAGCGCCAACTAAGAGTTAAAATTATGGTTGTAACTAAGAGTCCCAACCTACTCCCTTAGAATCATCCTCAATTAAGAGTTAAGCTATCTGCTATAAACTAAGAGTTTTAGCAACCTCTTTGAAAAAGAAGGTTTATGAACTAAGAGTTCTTCTCAAAGGACTTCAATTCTTCTTATTAAATTTATTAAATCAACTCACCAACCAATTATTAAGTATAGTTTGTGCTTTATTCCTACAAGTTAAATCAAATTCTGAATCAGCTGTAACCTTTTGAAGGTCTTTTTTGATTGAATCAAGGGTTTTCGCTCTATGTTGTAAAGTTATTATTTTTTCTTCGCGGTAATGATCTATTATATTTGCACGCGTCCATTCCTCAAAAGGGGAATTTTTGTAATAGTTCATCATTTGGAAACCCAAAAAAACATATGGAAAGTTTTTTTTATTGGTTGGCGATCATGATTTCATAATCGGTCAAAATAAATTTTACATGATTATAATACGCGTTTCATCAATCGTTTTATGCGAATCTATAGCATCCTCAAAAATAAGAAAACAAACCTCGTCTCACTTTTCAGTCACATGAATTCGGGGATAAATTTATTAGTCTGGAACGAATAGGACTATATACGACGAAAAAATGTCAAAATCCTAGGCAAATATCGGTGTGAATTTTTTTTTAGTTAAGATCGTTCCGGACTTAACACGGTTCCCGTTTCCCTAGTTTATAAAGACGAGTATTTATTGTGTAATTTTACTGCGCCTTATTGATACTAATTGACATTTGCATTATTTAATTGTATTTGCATACAAACGCGCGTTGCATCAAAACGTTTTTTTATAGCAATGAAATTATAAAAGGTACCGGTTTTTTTTTTTATTTTAAAATTTTTTTTGATATTCAACTAATATGTCTTTAAATAATTTACAAGTTAATCAAGCTTTAAAACAGTTTAGAAATTTTGATAAGTCAACCAGTTTCGCTAAGCAATGTTTTGAGATTTATATAATTCCTGAAAATGAAGAAGAACCTGCAAGCAAACATGCAAAACTGATTATATTTGGTTTGGCTTAACTAGTAATATGATTGAAACTAAACGGTAAAAGAAAATCTAAATTA